AGCGAAGGTCGGTAAGCGAACCGCTTACCGACCTTCGCTCTGCGATTTCTGCCCATTGGGGTCATCGCTGTGCGATCACATTAGCGATCACAAAAGCGTCCTCGTAGAGCGAATTCATCGCTCTACGAGGCGCTCGTTGTGCGAGGCACCACTGTACGCTATTTTTATCAGCAGATTTCTTAAATGTCAATCACAGTTTATGATTTCAAGCTCTTCTATTTTCTCCCCTCCTCACTTCTGACAAATAGAGCATTACGTTTTAGAACCTCCTCAGAAATATCATATTTCTTTGGCAAAAGGAAGAGTCCACTGGTTTTCACAGTTTTACTTTTTGTTATTGCTTTCTCCTGAAGGATCAGAATATGCAAATTATTTTCCTCTTAGTTTATGTTGTTCACTTGCAAAGATTAATTGCATTAAGCTCATTCTTTCAGTTGTCTGGAGTAAGGAGCTAGCATGAGATAGAAAACTATTTCACCACCTCACTGTAATGAACAGGTCTGTTTATTGATTGCCTGCTGGTCCAAAAAGCTCTATACAAGTAACCCTGTGTATGTATCAGATAAAATGCCACTTTTGTCATATGCTTTGAATTAGTAAAGGTTTGTTTGGGTGGTGAATACACTCCGGATTTTACTGGAATTATCCAAACTGCTGAACGTCATGAAAACGGATCCGTCATGAAAACGGATTCAGCACCTTCAGTAGCTCATGGGAATCTGAAACCCAAAACATGGAATGGATTCCATCACAAAATTACCATCTTCCACTGAATATTTATTCAATTTTTCTTATTTTTAAAGGGGCTCAATGTTGAACATTTTTAAGTGATGCAAGGAAGAATTTATAAAAAGCAGAATAGAGGAACTAGTTACAGTGGGGTCTTGACTTGAGAACTTAATCTGTATTGGAAGGCGGTTCTCAAGTCAAAAAGTTCGCAGGTCAAATCTGCATTTCCCATAGGAATGCATTGAAAACCATTTGATCCATATCTGCTCTTTTCCATCCATAGAAACTAATAGGAAGCTGCTATTCTGCCTTCGACCACTAGAGGGGGATATTTTGTTTCTTTTTTTCTTACGTAGGTCAAGAAAGGTTCAGGGAAGGCAGGGAAAATACAGTCCAGGCAGTACAGTACCAGGCAGTCTGAAGACTGTCTCCCAATCCACTCTCTAAACGCTGGGAGGAGTGAGGAAGCAGACAGGCACCCTTTTCACTGGCCAACAGTTAACTGAAAGTTCACATTTTGCACTTTCCCTGCCTCCCACGTGGTATTTTTCAGTTTTTTTCATTCGTAACTCAAATCTAAGTACGTAAGTCAAGTCAATATTTTCCTATGAGAGCGGTTTGTAAGTCAAAATGTTCGTAACTCAGGCCGTTCGTAAGTCAAGACCCCACTGTATTAGTTCTAACCATTGTGGCCAGGCCAGACATATCACACAGCAAAGAAACTGCTTGTTGGAGAAAGTGAATACAGTGGTGCCTCGCATAGCGAGGTTAATTGGTTCCAAAAAAACCATCGCTATGGGAAAACATCGTTAAGTGAAACATGTTTTCCCATAGAGATGCATTGAAAACCGGATAATCCGTTCCAATAGGAACGGATTATCCGGTTTTCTCCCCCATTATCGGGCGCAGCCCTTTGGGAGAAGCCAGGTGGTGGGGGAGAAGGCAGGAGCCGATGTCGTCTTCCCCCCCTCCCCCGAGGCTTCTCCCAAAGGGCTGCGCCCGATAATGGGGGAGAAAACCGGATAATCCGTTCCAATAGGAACGGATTATCCGGTTTTCTCCCCCATTATCGGGCGCAGCCCTTTGGGAGAAGCCAGGTGGTGGGGGAGAAGGCAGGAGCCGATGTCGTCTTCCCCCCCTCCCCCGAGGCTTCTCCCAAAGGGCTGCGCCCGATAATGGGGGAGAAAACCGGATAATCCGTTCCAATAGGAACGGATTATCCGGTTTTCTCCCCCATTATCGGGCGCAGCCCTTTGGGAGAAGCCAGGTGGTGGGGGAGAAGGCAGGAGCCGATGTCGTCTTCCCCCCCTCCCCCGAGGCTTCTCCCAAAGGGCTGCGCCCGATAATGGGGGAGAAAACCGGATAATCCGTTCCAATAGGAACGGATTATCCGGTTTTCTCCCCCATTATCGGGCGCAGCCCTTTGGGAGAAGCCAGGTGGTGGGGGAGAAGGCAGGAGCCGATGTCGTCTTCCCCCCCTCCCCCGAGGCTTCTCCCAAAGGGCTGCGCCCGATAATGGGGGAGAAAACCGGATAATCCGTTCCAATAGGAACGGATTATCCGGTTTTCAATGCATCTCTATGGGAAAACATGTTTCACTTAACGATGTTTTCCCATAGCGATGGTTTTTTTGGAACCAATTAACCTCGCTATGCGAGGCACCACTGTATTTAGCATGGACTCCTTCCAAGATCAATAAATAGTATTCCAGATTGTGGCTGGAGAAGCAGCCCAGTCCAGCACCAGCTGCACTGTTGGTCTCCTAGCATGGCAGCTCCACATGGCATGTGCCAGGAAACCTGATAGTCCTCCTGTTATGTGGAGATCACATTGGGACAAGGCCATTGGCTAGCACAATCAAGGGGAGTATGCCTGAAGACTGGTGGATCTGAGCAAAGAAGGCTTCATTCAGGTCTGCTCACCTGTGATGAACTGAAGTTGTTTAGACACATATACTCTGGTAGTTCATGCTGGTTTGGTGGATCGCCAGACAGGTGTTCTGTGGTTCAGCATCATGCTCTGCTCTCAGAAGCAGAGCCTTGGCTTCTGTGCCCTGCTTCCTCTGGGTGCTGCTTACAAGTGGGTGTCCATCGGAAAGGATGTTGTGCTGAACCACAGAACATCCATTCAGCTCCCTGCCAAACCATCCCAAACTGCTGAATCGGCAGTCTGTGCCCATCTCTAACTCAGCAGTTATTATGGCACCTTGAAGGATTATTTAAGCAATTTCATTCCCTGCCTTCCCTTCATTTTCTCCTACACTCTGAAAGCCACTTTTGCCTTTCTAGTCCCTATTCCCTCTTTACTCCTCAGAGCAGCCTTTTAAATCCTTCCTTGTAATCCTTTTTTATGCTCTACGTGGCATCTCCATTATCAAAATAACTCCCTTTGATGATGGAAGGATCAGGGGAAAACAGTCACAGGATGATATAATACACACAGAATAGTTTTTATATTTTTAAAGTTTGTGAGCATCAGCCTGGCTAGTCCCTACCAAGTGGCAAAATAGAAGGAGCAAAGTCTGTGTTAAATAAAACTATCTGCAATCAGATAGTTGCTCAAACTAGCTTGATAACCTAGCAGGTAAGGTGAATCCTGTCTAGCCGAGCCTACAAACATGGATAGCCTGTCACTCATGCTGTTCTGTTGTAGAGTCGAGTCCTCTGCACTAAATCAAATCACTGTTATTACTGTATCATCAGAGGGTAGACAGATGTGTCTTTCTGACATACCACTATGATACACACAAAAATGAGAAATGCATTGGCTCCTTCATTTCTATAACCTGGCCCTTCAAAAAGAACAGAGGCACAAACATGATCACTTATTTTTGCATGATCTGAGCTGATGATGGCAGTAGTGGTGATCATGATTAATTGCACTTTAAAAAAAGCAACACCTTGGATGTTTCTAAATCTAATTGAGGATGAAATATATTGGAAGCAAAATATTAGGGTGGGCAGAAGAAGAAATTGCTGCATTCCCCATTTGTGTTCCAGTGCCATTAAAATTACAAAAGCATTTTACCAAAAAACTTATTTAAAAAACAACAACACTCAAGACTGGTGGCTTCCAGTGATGATCTGAAGTTATTTAGACACATATACCCATGTTAACTTCTAATTGTACAGCATCTGTTCCTTTGAAATCTGCTCTCTTCCCACTGTTAGAATCAATGCAGATTTTGCATTGGGATGCAATATGGTAATTCAGAAGCCTTTGGCTTAACTGGAGCCAGATATTACAAAGGGGTCAGGCTTAGATTTTGGGGAGTGAGCCACATGTAAATCAATCCATGGACCTGGACTTTGATTCATCAGCAAAGCTGGAGGACATGGATAGACCACAATATTTATCTTTATTTATGTGCCCTTTCCGTCCAGGTAAAATAAGAGAAGACCAGCATTGATAAGCCACATTCCATCCATTGGTGCCTGGTGTCCATTGTGGATAGTTAGAAAGGCACACAGAGTCTGACACTTCTATTTCCTTTTTTAAAATTGCTATAATGAATTAGCTGCATCAATAGTCCTTGCTTTTTATCAAAACTGGAAGTATTTTGGCATAATACAGAGCAAAAGACTAAGGGCAATGGATTAAGACTTCACTTATAAGTTTGCCTGATGGACAAATAGCAACCCACCCACTTCTTTAAAGCTGCTTTTGTCACCTGATTTAGAAGAACTACGTCAGTAATTAATGTATACTGAGATTGCCAGAAAATGTGCTTCAGCCCCAGAACACATTTAGGAAAGGATGACTTCCTCACCCCGCTCATATTTCTGTGGCAATTTATTGCTATAATGTCCTTAATGTTTCCAAGGCAACTGTACAATTTGATGTACCATAAAGTGATGGATTAAATTACGAAGGGCCTACATTGTCCACAGCAATTCCTAGTCAAACAGTAACTTTATGGGCAGGCATAGTGATGTCTGTACTTATAGGGATTGCTGAAGGAACAAACATTTGCTGGTTTATCTTGCATTTCAGTACTTTTCAAAGTTTAAGGTTAGAACAATCTGCAATAACCATGTTTAAATCCAACTGGGAGACATTGGGAACAAGAGGCTTTGGAACTGAAACACATTATCGCACTTGAAAGGTAACATGTTGATGATGAATTCTTCTTGTTCGCTATAAGATATAGACTTTATGCACGATACATCTTCCAAGACCCAGCAAGATTAATAACAACAGGGGAGCACTTACTTAATGCCTACTTTTAATCCTTTGTTGGAAACGCTCAAATGCAAAATACATGGTCAGTTCCTCAGTCATGGATGATGTGCACACATAAAAAAAAACTCCACCTCTCTCTTCCACATATGTACGGCCTGCACAGGAAAATAAAATATCTCCTGCATTGATTTGTTTTATACGGAATACCATGGCTCAGTTCACCAATAATGGCAAACTGGGCCACGTTATCCAAATCTCACACTGTGAGCTCTCTTCTCTTTTCGTGCAGAATCTAATTTCTTCCTGGCTTGATCAAACCACAATTTGAATTAGTCAAGGTCTTGCTTGTCTTTCTATCCAGAATAGGAAGCCATGCATGATGACTATAGTTTCCATTTCTGATATGGAGGGCAGGGATAAAGCACTCTCCGCTCATTTGGATGCAACAGAAAATGATGGGTTGATAAGGCGAAAGAGTTATAAGATCTGAAGAGAAACCAGAGTATATAGAAGAGATATAAAACAGGATAAATTTATGAAAACCTGGCAACCATGATTAACATATGGAATTAGCTCAAGAAAAGAAGAACGTGATATGGGAAGTAATTTGGACTGCTGGCATGTAATATTTTAAAAAGAATTAATTATGTTAAAATATGTACTAGTGGATGTATAAAGAAAGACAATATACTGAAAGAATATGTAAGTAATGTGATAGTATTGTACTACGATTCTAACTTGTATCGTCATACTATGGATGTTAATAAAATTTAGAATTTAGAAATATTAAAAAAAAATAAAATGAAAATGATGGTTTCATCTAACCTAGATTTCTGGAGAGATAGGGTGGAATCAGGATGCAAAATGGGTACTGAGGAGACCTGGGTTAGAGTTTCTGTTTATCCTTGTAAACTCATTGGAGAAGCTGCTACTGGTAAAACTACTCTTAAATATCTCGCTCACCATGAAAGCCCATTTGCTAGCTGGTTGGCTGGCTTGATATACCGCCCCACACTATTCTGGGCAGGAGAACAGAAATCCAAACAGATTAGAAACTATAACAGATTAAAACCATTTAGGCTAATAACAAATAATAGCACCAGAGTTGATTTTCCCATGACGGCTGGCCAAGAGGTGTAGAGTGAAGCAGAGTCATGTGGAACACCTCCATGAAAAGCCATGTTTTAAGTTGCCTCTTGAATGTCAGCAGGGAGGGACCGATTTGATGATTCAAAATACACACAGATATGAAAACTGCATGCTCTAGGATCAGACGGACCATGCCTGACTACTAGCTACCAGGGAAGAAACAGTGCCAGCAGGCTATTATTTCGTTTCTTGCTTATGGGGTTCTTGTTGGCTCTGGAGGGAACGAAGACACTGACCTCTGTACCGATCTATCAAGATTTGTCTGAAGACCATATATCCATTGTCTTCTTGCCCCATTTTAGAGTCTTTAAATTCGGCTGTTAGTTCTCCTGCTTCACAGGATTATTGCAACATTGAGCAACAACAGGAAATCATCATAAAGCTCTGTATGTCCTGAGGAGTACTACAGCAGGATTATATTTAAAGACACATGTCATAATGAGAATTAATTCTTAAACATTTGCTTCCTTATCCCTTTCAGATGTTTTCTTTTTCTTCTACACAGTTGCCCACTTTAAAGATATTATACAAGAGACTCTGAAACCAGAAGATGGGGAGCAGAGGCAATAGTTTTATAACCTTTTCAGGAACAATACAAATAAGACTATTACTGGATGTTTACAACTTTAGTGCTGACTGGTTTCATGCAGAATTTTTTCAACTGTGTATGCGGGGCGCCCTTCTCAGCTGCCAAGAATCAACATCTGTCATCTACAACATTCATCATTTTAAAAAAATACTGGTAGCTGCAATATGAAAGTCCTTGAAGATTGAAGTCCCTCACCTCTGTTGTGAGTGAATACAGCCTTCTTGCAAAAAGCTGAAAAGGAGTATTTTAGCCATATTTTACCCTTCTCATAACTGATTTTCCAGTTTGTCAATCACTGCTGGTTAGTTTGCCATGCCACCTCCCATAAAAGATGCGGCAGATCAATGGCTCACATCAGCTATCTTCCTGCTGCTTGCATATTCTCCCCTTCATCTGCCGAATCCATGTTCAATGCAATGGCAAAGGCTTTAGAAAAATGTGAAACGCCTATTTCAGGTCTGACAAAACATGGGGAAGACAAATATATATATTTTAAAGGAGGGAAGGAGGGGAAAATAAAGGAAAAGTTTCCAATGTCAGGAAAAGGAATGAATGAATTTTATTTTATTTTATTTTGGCTTATATGCATCGTAGTCTGCAAGTTGTCTTTTTCAGCACTGGGTTAAAATTAAATCGACCATGACATTTCAGATTTCGTGATAAAACTGTATAATCCTTCTTGCAAAAAGCTGAAAAGGAGTATTTTAGCCATATTTTACCCTTCTCATAACTGATTTTCCAGTTTGTCAATCACTGCTGGTTAGTTTGCCATGCCACCTCCCATAAAAGATGCGGCAGATCAATGGCTCACATCAGCTATCTTCCTGCTGCTTGCATATTCTCCCCTTCATCTGCCGAATCCATGTTCAATGCAATGCCAAAGGCTTTAGAAAAATGTGAAATGCCTACTTCAGGTCTGACAAAACATGGGGAAGACAAATATATATATTTTAAAGGAGGGAAGGAGGGGAAAATAAAGGAAAAGTTTCATGACTGGACAAAAATTGTCAAGGAATTTTATTTTATTTTATTTTGGCTTATATGCATCGTAGTCTGCAAGTTGTCTTTTTCAGCACTGGGTTAAAATTAAATCGACCATGACATTTCAGATTTTGTGATAAAACTGTATAATATTCAGAGACCCAGTATATCACTGTCTAACTCTGTCTAGCTTCTTCTTTCTCATAGAGAGGGGCTTCTGGTGTCTCCTGAGGCAGGTGGGTTGTGAGGCCACACTTGTAGAAATCCTCCTTGGACCTGGCAAGTTGTAAGAAGTGATTACATGGCACCAAAAATGTACGTTGGTACTAAGTATCCTGAATAAGGTAGAATGTGATTCCTTGGAAGATGTCTATCTCAAGGGTTAGAAAATACATGGTGACCTACAGTTACAATTGTCTTGTATGTTTTAATGATGCTGAATTTGGTGCCCAGTTCCTTTTTTAAAAAAATTGGGCCATGAATGTCCCCGTTTATTTGACTGTTCACCACAAAATGTGAGCTACAATACCCAATATCACACATCTTCATCACCCTTCACAATGCATCCTTGGGGCAAAACATGTTGTTTTTGCACAAAATACATCCATCCGCAATGCCTGCAGTCCACAAGTATGAATAATGTAAACTTTATTTACATTGTTTATTTAATGTAAACTTTTTTTACATTACAAATCTTTTAAACTTAGTCCTCATAGTGACCATTCGTTTCCCCCTGAAATGAACTTTCATTATACTCTGAACTCAAGTATGTTAGAGCAGTTCGACAATAGAACCAACTACTTCGGGAGGTGGTGAGTACACCAATGCTGGAGGCACTCAGGAGAAAACGGGACAGCCATTTGTCAGACCTGCTTGGATTTGGATTCCATCATTAAACAGGGAGTTGGACTCAATGGCCTTTTAGACCCCTTCCAACTCAACTTTTCTACGATTCTATGTTTCTGTTTTGGTTGACGTAGAGGGGGCTGCAAGTAGGGGAGATGAAGGCAGAAAGCAGACTGCAAATTTCTTACCAAACTGGCTTGCACCAGGAAAGGATTTTGCCCATCTAGCCAATCACAAGCTTAATATTTCAACTGGTGATAGCATTCCTGAGGCAAAAAACTCCCCCGGATCATTTTAATTACAGATGCCGAAAGTTCAATGCATAATATTTGCATGTGAAGTGTATACTGTTATCCTTAACTCATCCCACACTGGCTTCAGAGTTTTGTTTTGAAAACTTGGTTGTTTTTCTTACTCCCAAAGTAGCCATGTCTTTCCCCTCCATTGCCACTTTTTCCTTTACTGTAATGGTCAAGGGGCAGTCAAATAATAAAAATGTATCCCTCTTCTTATACATTAACAATAATAATTATGTGTCTTCAAGTAAATTCTGATTGACGGCAACCCTTTTTAGGGTTTTCCAGATATTACACAGAAGTCACGGCAACCCTTTTTAGGGTTTTCCAGATAAGATATTACACAGCAGTAGTTTATCATTCCCATCTGGCAGTGCCCTGAGTCTTGCCCAAGGATACACAGGCTGGTTCTGTTTACAGGAGGCACAGTGTGGAATTGAATTCCCAATTAGATACAGTGGACCCTCGACTTACAGAATTAATCCGTATTGGAATGGTGGCTGCAGGTCAAAAAGTCTGTAGGTCGAGGCTCCATAGACCTACAATGCATTGAAAACCGATTAATTTTTGTTCCATTTTTTTCACGATCTGTAGGTCGATTCTCTGGCTGCAAGTCAAACCTAAATTTTGTGGCCAGAGAAGTCTGTAACTCAAAAAGTCTGTAAGTGGAGCCGTCTGTAAGTCAAGGGTCCACTGTACTTAAACCACAGAGATATCCAGCCAGTTTATATATTAGCCATCAGATTAAAAATGCTTAAAACCTCTCTCCCATCATACATGGAGAAGACATGTTAAAATACTTAATAAACACCTTTATGTGGAGACAATTCATTTAGCAGTCTGCCACTTTGGATCTGACATTATTCATCACTCACTGTCTGACTTTCTCAACCAAGATTCAATTCCGTCACTCCAAAATTTTATTTATTTTTTTAATAGCTCTTGTGAACTTTAGGATTTGTTATGGGACAAAATATATTGCCAGATCTGGAGTCTGCTTCATCAGAACTATAATCTAAAGGGTCACAGACTGTTGAATTGCTGTTTTAAAAAGCAAAGGAAAGTCTACAGTTTTCAGCACCAACAATATATTTTGTAAGCTGAAATGTGAAGCTCTGAATAGAATATTTGTTATAAAATTGTTCACCAAGAGCTTTGGCCCTCTTAAATCCCAGACACACAGATCAGGTAGGCTCACCTTAGCCCTCTCTCATGTAAGAAGGCAAATCTGGGGGAATTTCTCAGTTGATTTGGAAGAAGAATAGATCAGTCCCTAAGAGGAAGTGGTCAATTCCGGCAGGTTTGAAAGGGGCTAATTTTCTTCCCCTTTGGTCCTCCAAGGGCTGCACGGTCCAAAATGAAAGAAAAAAAAAACTCACCACCCCCACACACAACTAAGTTGCTAATGACTGAAAGTCCACTTCCAGGTTTGAAAAAACTTGTGTTAAAAACTGCAGGAAGTTCCTGCAATCTAGTTAAAAGCTAATCAGTACTCCTGGGGCAGCAATTCACTATTGTTTTGCTAGACAAAGTTACCTGGCAGTCAGGGGGAGAAACGGCCTAATGGGAACAGAGCCACCAAAAAAAATCTAGAAGGGTGCCTGTGGCCCTAACCACCACTGCTTGCCTACCACCATTCAGGTACTAGTTCTACGCTTACCTGTTTCTATTATGTTATTCCAAATGTTCTAAGAAAGATCAAGCCACATTTAACTGAGAAATGAAAACTCAGTTTCTTTAATCAAACTTCACTCCGTTCTCATCTCTGAAGTGACATACGGGGTGAAACAGAACCACTAGAGTCGAGGTCAGAATTCTCTATCCATATTGTATCTTAGGATACTTTATGTCTCAGCCTTATTACATCTCACAGGAAACAGCTGCCTTCATGTCTCTAGGAAATATGGGATAGCCTGAATTTTTCCTTTTTTAAAAATCATCACCGGCAATCGAACCCTGAAGGTGAAAAAGGATGCACACACCTGTAATTTCCCCAAGGTGCTCTGCCTTGGAGTGGAGGAGACACTAATGTGCAACTTGCTGTAATCTTAGACAAAAATAGCCAAGGGAAGGGCGCAAGGACCCTTCTGATGATCAGCTCTGCAGTGATCACATCCCAGGGAGCTAGGAAAGAGACATTTAAAAGATATTCCCATTTAGGGAGAATATTTAGGGATGTGTCTGAAGTCCTCCATCAGCATGTAATAGACTGTGGAGGAAGACTTGCATCTGAATCACAGACCAGCTGTGTACAATCGACCGGGCAGTCTGCCAAAAAACAAAAAAATTCTTTCAAAGCAGATTTCTTGCACATCCTTATTCAAAAACAAAAGGTTCCAAGGAAGTTGTAAAACAATTGCCTCTTAATAGCAGCTGCTGGAAGACAACAATGGGAGAGGCCTATTCCTGTTATAGTTCAAAGTAGTTAATTATTGTTGCATTACCTTTTTTTTTTAAAAAAAGGAACTCCTTATTTGCCCATTTTTTTAAAAAAATGTGAGAATGTTGTGAATTTGCTGACCTGTTCTGCTAAACATGCTCTCTTCCAATCCACCTTGTTGCATCAAAAGACACAACGAAATAGCTATCTCATGATTTTATCACTGCCTCCCCCGCCAGAGTACTACAGTGCTATTCAACTACTAAGTCTGAATATTTGTAGGGCTCAGTTGGTTGTGGGGATGGCAGGGGGAGAATGGCACTTGAGTCTTCACTCCAGTCAGAAGTTTCTCAGATCTTGCATGTTCAACACAGTCTGCAGCGGAGGCTGTAAAGGGCAGCCAGCTGAATGTACTTACCACATTCTTGGGATCAAGAGTTCTGCCTTATCACAGAGCCTTACATGGATTCACATTTACAGTCTGAATAGGGCTTAGGAGGCAGAAACACAAGACACAGCAGGAGGCATGTGAAACTTCCTCTCCATCATTTAATGAGGCCACATGCCTGTCACAATTCAAGTATCTAAAACATTACAGTTACAGCGCAGACAGAGTTCTCCCTTGCTAAATTACAGTCATAATGCAAAGTGCCACATCTTTATTATTGGGAAAAATATGTTTATTCCTGGGAAAGGAACCAACATAGTTCTTCCTATATAGAAAAGTACAGAACTAGCAGTATTGTTCAGGAAGACTTCACATATGCTGTCACCAGATTATTCTCCATGTAAGGACAATGGTTCAAGAATACTAATACGGTGCTAGAATATTTGGAGGAAGAGAAGATGAATTAAAATTATGTATGCCTGGGACAGATGTAAACTGTAGCCAAAATCCACTTAGCATGACACTGTTACACTCCTGGGGGCATGGCAAGACTCACCATTTGCTATAAACCTAAGTAAGCTGAAGCTAGCACAAATGGAAATAGGACTCCCCAAGACACTGAAATGAAGAGCACTATGTTGGCCCCAAAGAACATCACATTATTTTCTACGTAACATTTGCTGCCATTATATAAACACTAATTTGACTCTTGACTTGATATGACAGCTGATATGACAAATCCATTTGTCACACCACAGTAGCAAAGTGCATGGCAGAGCTGTTTAATTAACACAAATTGATTTGCAATCTCAGAACGGAAAGGCTTCTTTAACATAAAATGGAAAGAAAACTGAATCGTTGCAGTTTCTAATAAAAGCGGAAGATACTTCAAAGCTATTTAAATACAATGCTATAGAGAGATGAAACTCTCACTATCCCACCTTCATGAACTATGAAGTGATTATTCTTACGAAATTACTATCTCCAAACTTCACAGTGGATGATGATAATCAGGATTTATGCAGTGCAGTTTCTGTCCCTATATGGTATGATACTACGTGCTTTCTTTTTCATTTCAATCATTGAATGGTACTTTTTTAATAATAGTGCTTTTCCAATATACAAAACACTGGAAGATTTTTTTTTAAAAAAACAACATTCATGAAAGTTAAAAATCTCCTGACAAAACTACTAATCAATGAAACAACAAACAAGTTTGAAGAGATAGTTAACAAAGCCCTTTCTTAAGTAAGTAGAGGTTCAATTCTAAGAAAAATGAAAGGGGGAGGGGGTAAACTGTTCCATTATTTTGGTGCCATCACTATAAGGCCCCTGATTTTGAAAGTTGCAGTTCTGATTTACACACAGAGAATGCAAAGCAGAGCCTGTTTTAAAGAAAACAGCAGGTGCAGTAAATAATAAAGAGAGAAAGATGGTCCAAGCAAAATGATAAGGATTTGCTACTGGACTACTACTGAGTGTATGACTGACTTGAAATTTGAACTCAAGGTTGTTACAACATTCCAACTCTCAATATTCATTCATTCAGTCATTCAGTCAGTCAGTCAGTTTTATACTGCCCATCTAGCAAATTGCTATTCTGGGCGCTGTACAGAAAACAAAACAAAGCATACAGTATACCGTAACAGTTTCACAATAGATTGAAAAATGCTAGCAGCTAAAGGCTGGTTTGAGGCTGCTCAAAATCCCCCAAGGTAGGCTTCAGCAGTATGTGGACCGAGAACTCCCAGAAGTACAAGCTGGATCCTGAAGAGGCAGAGGCACTCGAGACCAAATTGCTGACTTGCGCTGGATTATGGAGAAAGCCAGAGAGTTCCAGAAAAATATCTACTTCTGCTTCATTGACTATGCAAAAGCCTTTGACTATGTGGACCACAACAAACTATGGCAAGTTCTTAAAGAAATGGGAGTGCCTGACCACCTTATCTATCTACTGAGAAACCTATATGTGGGACATGAAGCAACAGTTAGAACTGGATATGGAACAACTGATTGGTTCAAAATTGGGAAAGGAGTATGACAAGGCTGTATATTGTCCCCCAGCTTATTCAACTTATATGCAGGATACATCATGCAGAAGGCTGGACTGGAGGAATCCCAAGCCGGAATTAAGACTGCCGGAAGAAATATCAACAACCTCCGATATGCAGATGACACCACTCTGATGGCAGAAAGTGAAGAGGAATTAAAGAACCTTGTAATGAGGAGAGTGCAAACAACG